AGTGCAGCACTTTATTAGACGTATCCTTCTGGTAGCTTCCACAAGTAGAAAATTCTAGTAGTTTATATACAGTAAATGCAGCATCCATTAAGACACACAAACTTAATTACTTCTACTACATTTTGTGCAGAAAAACTGTGCAGTTCTCTGGACCAGAGCACACGTGAGATAAGCTGAAAAATGATGGACGTGTCTGTCTGTCTTCTGTCTGTCTTATGTCAGAGATGGAAGAAATGGTAACACTGCTCAGCCTACATTTGTATAAAAAAGGTTCAAAAGAAAAGTATGTCTTTCTGTTTTGACCTCTACCACTAAGGCACATTATTATTAACAGTAGGGTTCCTAATGTATAGAGACGGTGCTCAGCACTTCATTTAGTCTTTAGTCTTTGCTCTCTCTGCATGCCTCACATGGAGGGACACCTTAGGTAGAAAGGAATAGTTACTTATTGTCTTAGCTCAGCAACAAAGACAGGCACAGTGGTTAGCTGTAGATAGCCAGAGGCAAAGAGCAGGAGTGATCGTATCAGTTAAGAGCAGATAGTGAAGTGCTGTTTTATAAAGAACGCAGTTTAACTGAGGTCAAACTGTGTCTCTGCAGAACAACTACTGTGGAATAGAGGAGTTTTAGAATCGCATATTGGTCATAATTATAAGTTCACTATTTAAATGTGGCCTGCACAGTTATTTGGAGCAACCTATACACATACATATATTCACATATATAAACATATATATATATATACACATGTATAACTTTTCCTGTTTACAGTTGCAGTCTTGTCAAATTCGGACCCAACAAACAGCCCTCGGTGCATCAAACCCTCGCTGACAGTTTTATGACTTCTCACATCAAGACCTTCTCGGTGCCACAGGACACACCGTGGAAATTGGGTACCTGGCAGCTCCAGGCTGAAATGAAAGGAAGGTTAAACTCCCAAAGGGACGGTGTGCTTTTCACATTCACCCTTTTAGGCAATGGCAAAGTGAGTAAACACCTTAGAGGAAATTCAAAGTGTAGTCCTTGAGGCAGTTTTTAACAGTAAACCACACCTCAGCGCTGACACTGCCGACCCAGAGATGTTTTTTTAAACCCCGAGGTTCTGGTTCACATTTTTGTCCCGATGAAACTTGAAACCACAGACTGTTTTTTTTAATCCTTTTTATTCTCCTCTGGAAATTCAGAAGAAAATTAAGTTTTTTTTATCAAGTGCTATTAAGAGTGTGACACACAAACGTCAGTTTGACAAATCTCCCCTGGCCTTACAGTGAGCATTCTCACTGCCTGGTGTTTTTCTTCTCTTACTTACAGTATTCCTTCTCTTCCCTTCCCCCCACACATGCTCTAACAGCCAACATTATTTTCTTCTTCATAAACATAGCACGGTCTTTCTCACTCTTCCTCTCCCAAGTACACGCACCATCTTCCTCACACACACCAAAATATCCTGAACTGACTTTGGGCCTTTGTTTTTTTTTTTTTTTTTGTGAGAGCCATTGTATGAAACCCGTGGGTCCTTTTTTTTAGGCCATAGATTAAAAGGAAAGTAAAGGCAGAGAATGACTGGTTGAGATGGGAAAGTCTTCCTTCCTCCGCTCCAGAATTCCTTTGTGCCGGGCTCTTCTATGAACCACACTTTGTTTGATTCAAAGAAGTCGAGAGAGACTTAGGCAGCAGATGTTGAGATTTCAAAGAAAACAAGTACAAGTTGTACTGACTCTCGTCAGCACTCATCTAGTCACATACATGCTGTTCTAAGCGTCTGGGGTTGATGGATCTGTTTGTCGGAGCAGGGCTTCCATTCCTCCTCTTTATCTCTGCAGTCAGAAGGTATTAACCTTTTTTTTATTTCTTACTATAGTGAATAAATGCTGATATTTATCAAGCTGTTGTGCTACAGTACTATTCAAGTCTTAACTGTTGCTAACAAGATTAATTTGATGTAAATAATAAGGATAAAACGAAAGATTTCATTATTATCAAAATTCAATTAAAACTAAATCCAATATGGCTGTCAAACTACTAAACCTGTTAAGGTCTATAATTGCAATGTAGCTACAAATTAATCACAATTATTCAGTGATAATCAAGTTAACACAACATTCTGACCAAAATAAATAAATAAAGTGTGAACATTGGCATTTACACCATCATACTTTTTGATTGGACTGTATCATCTTTTTTTTTTTGTTTAAATTATGTTTGAAAAGACGTGACATCAAGGTCTAGAAAAAGTTGTTTGTTTGTTTGTGTAAAAAGTAAGAACTTTGTTTTTATTGAATTACTGTCAAAGAGGGAACATATTCCTTTAAATCCATAAAAGAGCTCTTCTTTGTGTTTCTTACTGTCAAAGAGGGAACATATTCCTTGAATTCTTCCTGAATCTAGTCTGTGCCCAACCCCCCAGGCCCTGAACCGTCGGCACACTAGCCTGAATTAAGCAGCAGACAATCGATGTTTAGATGGAACCCTCATCATCTGGGACTGTCCTGGGTCTCAGTCTGCCTGTGACAAACTCTCCTTGTCTGTGGACCGTGTCTCACCACAGTAAGACCTCAATCTTCTATCACTTCTAGCGCTGTGGCCAAAAAAGAAATAAAAAGAAATCCTCAGAGACTCAGTGTCGTGATGCTTCCTGTTCTACCTGTACGTGTTCCAGTCACATTATTTCCCATGCCACCAGTTTACTGAAGACACTTTATGAAAGCTAACAGGCTGGCAGCTTAATTACTGCAAGATGGTTTCTCCCAACAGCCACTTAGATGTATCTTATTTGTGCCTTCATTAATCACTCCATGCTGGAGGAAAGTAACACAACTTGGTTCCCTGAAGCCGATTAGAGTCATTGACAAATTAACTGTGGCGGTTCACCAGACAGATTCATTCACATACTGAGAGTCAACTTAAAGTACACCTGTGGTTGTTTTTCTATCTTTTACCTCGTCTTTAGACTATAATTCAACCCAGTCATAATTATATTTTAAAGTAAAGCATTCCCCCTGAGGCCAGAGTGAAGCATTTTGCTGCAACATTTTCCAGTGCAGTGATACAGTACCTTCATATATAAATATATGCTAATGTATTTTAAGCCAATGCTCAGCCGTCAATAGGCTTTTACCAATTTAAAAGGCTCATAAAAATGTCTTTAGTCTGTGCATTTGTTGGATAGACATTACTGCAGACTGAAAAGCTCAAATAATTCAATTCAAATAAGAAAAATTTTGAAAAGGAATCTTGGTGCTGCCATATTTATGTTTACATTTGTCAAAAAACGAAAGGTCGTCACAGTTTTCCTTCACCAACTGTGGCTCCACTGTGTAGCCGACTTCACGCCTGCTTACCCATCCCCACCGTGGGATCAATGAAGTTCTAATACCAATTAATGAATTCAATTTCAATTATCGGTGAGTAACAGGGAAATTCACAAGGAGGCGAACATCATGATGGAACAGCAGCTGCTGCAAACCAACACAAATGACCATAAAACAAGAGGCTGGGAATTAACTTGGACTGTTAATGTCGTGGACCTGCTCTGGACTGGTTCTTCTACCATCATGTATCAATCAAACTGATTCCACCAGGACAATTAGTTAAGTTGTCATACAGAAAAACAGAAGTTGACATCCTGTCCAAATGTAGCAGCAAAGCTTTTAGTGAGAAAAAAAAACATACCAATATAAAAATCCTGCTGCTGGCAGCCAAATATTTCCGAGATAAAATCCCTTTTTTATAGTTCCCCATTAAACCTGTGTTAGTCACAAGCATGCCTTTAAGGAACACATTAGAAGAACAATTTCATTTGTATCTGAACTGATTTTCTTGGCTTACTTTCCACCTCTTGACCTTTTGTATTAAATGCATTTTTGCCTTCCTCTTCTTTGTGGAAAGCTGTTCTACAAACAAAATTGTCTTACTACCAAAGCCTTTTTATCAGCCAAACCTTCAGGACAACAAGTCTCCAACTCACTTCATTCTCAAAACTGCTTTATTTCATTGTCTCTCAAGTCTGGGAGGTAAAGTCCAAAGGATTTCATTTTTGTCAATAGATTATCTTTTTCAGCGTCCCCAGAGCTGAGCTCTCTCCTCTACTTGGATGAATGACTTCATTGCAACGGCAACAGAGAGAGTGTTATTAGGAGAAAATTGATAGCGAATAATTAACGACAGCAAATGAGAGAATGAGAGCTGAAGACGAGTTGAGGCAAAGAGTGTCTTCTGTCTTTGTAGTTGCCATGGACACCAAACACGCTTACTTGCAGACTGCTGCTAACATTTTTTGAATGACTTACACACACACACACAGACACACAATCACACACACCCCATACTTCAACTAAGGGTAGACAGGAGCAACAGCGGTAGCTTTGAAACACCTCCTGTCAGATTCCAGCACAGGTAGATGAATGCACACAGGATACAGCTCATTAAAAGTTGTGTTTTACTCCAAGGGCCACTGACTGCTTGTTTCCCTGTTTTT